TAGAAGGAATATGGGGGTTTTTACCATGCATAGAGACAATCATACCAGTCCTGTCATGAAACTCAAGAATTTGAGGAATATTAATATTGAAATGTACTCCTGTGAGCAGCATAACTAGGGATTTTGTTTATCAGCTGGGAAGCAGGAGGCTGTTTCAAGAGGCAACACCACAGAATCTCACAATCAAAAAGGGTAATAAAGCTCAAAACAACTTTTCTTTCTGACACAACTGAACTGAGGTGTGGCTTTTCCTCTAAATGTGCCTTAGCAGCTTGATCTTCATTCAGTGAAGAATCTGGATTCTTCTGAGAGTCTGTTCACAGGCTCTCTGAGCCAACTGAATTGTGTTCAGATGCTGGCCATATCTCTATTTATAAATAATGGTGTTTGGGGCTTTCATAAAATTCAGAACTTCATGCTTGTTCTCTCTATGAAAGTTACTTTTAAAGACATTTTAAAAGCAATTTGGTATTGAAATGAGGAAGAGACTACATTTGGCTTCATTATCAAATTTATGAGTATAAGCCACAAAGCAGCATTTGTTCTTTTTTGCTTTCTGGTACAAAAAGAAGTTTCCACACTCTCTGAAGTCTGTAGAAGGGAAGTCCCTTTGTGTTTCAGTGGAGTTTGGAGAGCAGAAGGAAGTAGAGAAGGACAAATGTGGCATAACATTTAAAACCACAGGGTTTGATTTTACTTTTTTTTTTTTTTTAAGAAGAGGAATGCTTATTTGCTTTAAAGAACTTTAAAGAGATTTTCTCATCCTCTAGCAAGGTGTGAAAAGAATCAGTTAATTTGACAAAGAAATATTTTAAAAAAAAGTTTCCTTGAAGAAACTATTATAAAAAATGTTACCACATCCAGTTGTGGCTGTCAGGATTGTGACTTGCTGAGCAGATCAAATAATACCCCTGGTTTGCCATCTCACTTGTGACCCTCAGTGAAGGGAGAGTAAAGGAGAAACAACCTGGGACACAGCACATGGTTACACAGCCATCATGGTTGTGGAGTTCTGGCAAATATGAATGAAGAAAAACTAAGTACAAAATCAGAAGATTTTTTGGGATGCATATGGGGTATTTTTGACAAGAAACTGGTGATACTACATAAGAATTACTGGGGAGGAATAAAACAAAGATGGTCAGTGATTTGCAGCTCATCATTCTGCAGAAAAATTATTGTTTTGCATTGCTGCAACCAGTTTCCAGGAAGTTTTCTGCCATTATGAATTAAAGAAATATCCACAGGAAGATAGGATACCTGCTTTGAAGTCCTTGCTCTCTATTTTAAGGCATAACAGTGAATAGCACAAACACAGAAACTGAAGGAAAGGAGCATGACAATACAAAGCAAATTCTTTTTAATAATTCTTTTTTAACACTAATAACATATAAGCACCTTTTGAAATAAAATGTGTTGAAAAACTGACTGAAACTATTTGGGAAACCTGTGCCTGTCTTGTGAAAGTTAGAAAACTGAAATGTTTTCACATTTTGCATGAAAATCTGTCCAGTGTTTATTTATTTGTTTTAATGGAAGAAGAAAGGGAAGCTCACACCCAGCAGCTGCTGAGCTCAGGCAAAGTTTGGAAGTCCCAAGTTCAAGCCCCTGCTAAAACTAGTGTTTGCTTATGCAAAGTATAAACAGAGAAGACTTGGTGGTTACAGTAGCTTGGTGTTTTTTATCTGTGGTGAAAGATAGAAGATCAAAACTCACACTGAATCAGGAAAAACAGAGCCTTGGCTGTGACTCACCCCCAGTCAGGCTCTGTGCTGCAGCCACTGGCAGGAACACTTCACTCCTCCAGTGTCACCCTCCTCTCTCAGGAGAAACTGCATCTTGGCTGAAACCTTCCTGCAAAATTAGCAGATATTTCACAGTGAAGAGTGCTGGCTTCAAAACACTGACCTTTGCAATTGAAGACACATTCTGTTAAAACACTACTACATAATTTCAGGGCTGTATCACCACTTTGTAGGAAATTAGTTGTTTGTCGTGGCTTAGCAGTTTTATTCTTTTCTTTTCTTTTTCAGAAAGGAAGTCCAGGAAAATATAAAAATAATTTAAGGTGGAAAAGTCACTCTAAATTGAGTAATATCTTTATACCCTGGAACTTTAAATTCCAAAAAGCAATTCAAATTCTGAAGCCCCTCTATTACAAAAAGACAAAAAACTTTCCTGCTGAAATTTTTCACTCTATTAAAACTGCCCATATAATAGTGATTTATATCAGCTAGATCTGCCTTTGCATTTACTTAATGCAAAGTCACCCATACATCTTGGCAGCACATTTGCAGTGTTGTCTGCTGGCTCTGTTAAAAGTAAATAAGGTTGAATGAAATAAGATGCTACAGATTTATCATGATTCCTCCAGAAAGTGCTCACATTTGGACAACAGACAGGAAAAGAAAACAGAAATCATGTAATACTTGCCCTCTCTTGGGTTGCTTGCAATGGATTTCCCTAGAATATGTTAATGAAATAATTATACTGATTAAAAAACAGATTAAATTAATATTCCTGTCTTTAATTTCTTTCAAAAATGTTATTTTAGTGACATAATCCTGTTGTGGATCTTGAAAACTTATTGCAGCAATGTGCTTACACATATGTATATAAATGGCTCCTTTCAGCAGAAATATCTCAGAGATTTATGATGAATCTGTAATTAGGATATATAATTTCACCATTGAAATGTGACTACTTATTGACTGGAGAATGGCTTCCACTCATAACTGCATTTTGCAAATCACTTCAATTCATGTTTACATATGCAAGTACTTCCCTTAAATCTGTGGGAGTAATACTAAAACCAATCTATTTACAGGCCCTGGGAGTTAACATCACCATGTGCAGCAGCTGAATTCAGCTCACCTCATACCACAAAACAAGGGGGAAGAAATCTCATCAACAACCTAGAATAAATCGTATTTCAAACAGAAGCACAAGAAATACCATGTTTAAAACTACAGCAGACAGAATTTGTGTTTTGAGGGGTTTATCTAAGGTGAAACTCCCAACAGCCTGAAACTTGATCACACTGTACTGCCTGCCCAGACTAGAGCACTGAAAATCTCCACATACTAATCCTTTTATAGCTGTATGTTAATATGCCTTCTTAATCTTTCTAGGAGCAATAAGTAAAATTATTTTAGAGGCCTTTCACATTAAACAACCCTTCCCCACACAGAAATGTGTGCATGGAGAGCTTTTCATAATAAGTGATGGGCAGTCTAAATAGAGAGTCAGTACTGCTGGCTCTGTGTACAATTAAAAACAACTACAACAGCCATTGTGCTTTCTTCAGGTGTCTTTAGAAATATAGTTTCCCAGGATGTAATTTGGAAATTAAATACATTTAGTATTGAGTTTTATTTAGGAAAATAAACTAGCATAGTCTCTTTCTGTGAACATTTTTTGGAAAGTATATAAATACCACCAAGGGGTTGCCAGAATATATATAAATATATATTGGTTGCCACCAATATATATAAATACCACCAAGGGGTTGCCAGAAAATGGTGTATATTGTAAGACTATATTCCTGTGAGTCCTCCTGCCTGGTCTGAGGAAGCATGACCCAGGGCACTCACTCTGAACCCAGGAAAGTTTTGTCCTTCCTCTGGTCTCTGCCAAAATCTTTGTTCTGGAAGTGTGCTTAATCACTTCACCCTGCCTTGTTTTTCTCTACCATTTCTGTCATAACTAGATTACAAACTCTGTGTTTGGTATAAAACATTTGGCATGAAGGGTCACTTATCTCAATGGACCCACTAAGTGCTGCCAAAATGCAAATCACACTGATGCCTCCTGAAGTGACAGAATTTCACCTTTGTGTTATACAACAAACCAACGCTACATGGGGCACTTCAATTCAGCACTGAGAGGGTGCAAAAATGGGAATGTGAGGGGGAATAGCAGGAAACAGAACTAAGCAGTGGATGAGAAGTACAGGAAAATAAGTTAAACTTCTGCTAAAACCAAGTGGGGACTCCAGATCTGGAAGGTGGCAGCTGCTCTGCTTGGTCCCCATTTACACACCCCCACAATATCTGAGGGTGAGCAAAGGAACTTTTCAACCCAAGGGATGCATGAGCTGTAATCTCACCTTTTGACTGCTGGCAAATATGCATGTTTTCCACAACTTCTGTTAATGATTCATCTTTGCAGACTTTCTCTAGAGTGGGATTTAAGGGAGGTGATGGTTACTAGACACTAAGATTCACTTACTGATTTTCTTATGTGCCAGGTTACTCTATTTAAATCCTAAGATTCCCGTTGTAGACTCTTCAGTTACAACTAGGAATGCACCCCTGATTTTCACTCAGAGTGACTGAATTCTGCCCTATGAAAGAATGGTCATCTTTCACTTCCCAGTTGCAACAATCTCCAATCACTCAACTGTTCAGCTCACAAGACCAAACATTCTGATACTCTGTGTTCTGTTTGTGTTTCTCAACATGACAAATGTTTACTGTGTTCTCTTCTAAGTAGTGGGCAAAATAAAAGCAGCCTGGTCCCCCTGCAAGAATCCTGCTCACTAAATGGAGTAAGCACTGGCTGTGGATGTAAAGTTGTTTCCTAAAAGGGCTGGTGTGAAAAAGATTCCAAATAAACAAAAACTGCTGAGACATCTGAAAATAGAGTGCAGTGCTGAACAGGTTCATGAAATAGTTCTGAGAGAACCAGTACTACCAAAGGCAGTATGGCCCTGTCAGTGCAGTTTTTCTCTGCAGGATGAATTATCCAGGGCTCTGAGCCTCACTAATGCAGTTGTATCGATTTTGAGACCTTGCTAGCCCGGGTATCCTTACACAGCACAATGCTCTGTGTGTGTATTCTTAGTGCTCATTCTCAACAGAAGCAATTAAGGTGTCACTGGGTCTTAATTGTCTCCATAGAGGATGTTTTCTTTAAAGCCCTGTTTGTTTGAAAAACAAAGCAATACATATTGCTTAAGTTTTATTTTCAGACCTCCACAGGGAATTTTACTGTGCATGTAATTTACAAATTATCACACCATTTATTTTTAGAAGCAACTACTTCAGTGGCGTAGAGAAATTCACCTGGTTCTAAAGGAAACAGATCTGACCAACAGGCCTGAGAACTGCTGGGTGGTGAACATTTGTGGAGGGAGCAGAAGATTCCTGGTCAGGGGCTGTGGACTGAAGATACTGAAGCCTGTGTGTGTGCCAGGCTGGAGCAGATCTGTGGGCAGGGTTAGAAGCTGAGAGCCCAACATCAGCTCTTTACGTGGGGAAACAGTCACTGAGGACTGGCTCTTCTCCAGCCCCATTACTGGGGAGCAGATGGAGCTGGCGAGTGTCAATTTCAGGTCAACATTATCTGAAAAACAAAACAAAATTAAAAAATAAGTAAATAAGGAGTCCTCAGAGGAGCCCTGCTGACCATTTGGAGCACAGGTCCAGAGGAGGGCAATGAGGATAATTGGGGGACTGGAACATTTCTCTTATGAGGAAAGGCTGAGGGAGCTGGGCCTGTTAAGCCTTGAGAAGAAAGAGTGGAGAGGGGACCTCATTAATGTGTATAAATACCTAAAGGGGTGCCAGGAATACTATACCAGGGTCTTCTTGGTGGTGCCAAGCAAGAGAACCATGGAATGGTTTGGGTTAGGTGACCTTGATGATCATCTTGTTCCACGCCCTGTCGTGGCAGGGACACCTTCCCTTATCCCAGGTGGCTCCAAGCCCTGTCTGACCTGGCCTTGAACACCTGCAGGGATGGGGCAGCCACAGAAACCTGTGCCAGGGCCTCACCACCTTCAAAATTTATGTTTTTTCCCCTAATATCTGATCTAAACCCACTCTCTCCATCTGAACCCATTCCCCCTTGTCCTGTGCTACGTGCTATGTAAATATCCTTGCATCATCTTCCCAGTAAGTTCCCCTCAAGTACTGCAAGGCCACAGTTGGCTCACCCCAAGCTTCTCTTTTCAGGCTGAACAATCCCTTTGTCCCAGCCCCTCACGAGAGGCGCCCCATCCTTCTGGACGGGCAAGAGAGGGAACACGAGGCCAGGGGAAGGCACAGGAAGCTCCACCGGAGCACAGAGAAGAGCACAGCTTCTTTCTGGAACAGACTGCCCGGAGAGGGTGAGGAGCGGAGATACTCCAGAACCATCGGGACGCGGTCCTGCGCCCTGTGCTCTGGGATAACTCTACGAGCCCCGAGGAGAAGCTGGAGTCCCCAGGAGCGTTCACCCAAAGCGTTTGGTTTTGTTTGGCTCGGTTTGGCTCGGCTCGGCCCGGCCCACTCGGCTCCCGCCCCGCCCCGCGCGCGTTCCCGGATGGAAGCGGCGCGTCCCGCGGCCGCGTGACCGCTCCCTCCCGGAAGTGCGGCGGGAGCGGGGCCGTGCGGGAGCCGGGAGGTGCCGAGCGCGGGGCGGGCACGGCCGGCAGCAGCGGGACTCGGCGCGGGGGCAGCGATGCGGCTCCGCCGCCGCCCGGGCTCGCCGCCTTTGCCTCCCGCCGGGCGCCGGTGACCGTCACAGCGTCCCCGCCCCGGCGGAATGAGCCCCGCCGCGCCGCCCCGCCAGCGCCGCGATCCGGTACGTGCCGGGCCGGGCCGGGGGTAAGGGGTGAGGGGGGAAAAGCCTTTGTTGTGGCCTCGGGCAGCGCCGCTAGGTGCTGCGGGAGGGCCGGGCCGGGCCGGGCCGCCGTGCTCCGGGCCGGGCGCTGTCGGCTGTTTGCGGTCCGGGGCTCCGGCGATCCCCGCATCCAGCGGTGCCCGCCTCGGGCTCCCGCAGGCCCCGGGTGAGCGCTGCCCGCCCCTCGGCCGCGAAAAGCCCCGAGCTCGTTCTCCGCCCGTGCCCTCAATACCCCCCAGTGCGGTTTGGTTTGGGAAGTTGACGCCGTGTGAGAAAGCAAAAGGAGGCGGCGGGGGAGGGGGGTGTTGGCTGGGAGGTGTTTCTGGTTGCTCGCCGTGTTTGGGCTGCGGCAAAGTTTGTGGCAGGGTTCGGTGGATGGTGTGCGAGCAAAGCTCCCCTCGGTTCACCGGCGGCGCGCACCATCTTAGCCCTGGTCAGGAAGTGGAGTTGACTCAGGCTGGTTTCACCTGATGATGTCGTCTGCTGAAATTCCCGGGAGTCCGGGGAGGATTTGCATCACACTGAGGCTGTTCGAGGGCAGAAGTAGGTGAGAAAGACCGTAAAGAATGGAAAACGGCAAAACAAAGGAAATATCGATATCGCTCAGGCTGAGGTCTCGGTGTTTTTTAAGCTGTAGGATACTGAAATCAGCAATCCGTTTTAAAACGTAGCTTTGCTTTGTGACTGTATTCCTAATTTCTTTCCTAAATAGGCGTCAAGAGTCATAAAAATAGTATTTGGACAAAAAGGATTGTCTCGAACCTCCTGCCAGGAAGAACAATCTGTGACAGAGTCAAGCAGGGTCCTTCCTTATTCTTATCAGTTCTGCAGAAAGCATTATTTTGATAGATATCCCATATGGTTACAGGAATTTTTACCACAGTGGTTCTGAGCTAAGCCGTTTGTAAGACTGCCAAGGCATTTTGTTTTAACCATAAGAAAAAAAGGTTAACAAAAATGTCTCCTTTTCTGTTTTTTACTAGAAGTTGTATTATTTCTGGAAATAAATATCCATTTTAGAGGGGTACTTAGCAGTTACTGTCACTTCTGAAAGTATTTTACCTGGCTTCTCTCTGGGCATTCTGGGATGTGTGGCCAGGACAACCATAAATGTTTGTGAAGGATTTCCAGTGTGTGTCTATTGCATGGTTATTTCCCCTTCACCCTGTGAGGGGATATTTACTCAGGAAAGGGAAAATAATTTTTAAACAATATGCCTTTTGTGTATAAAGCTGCAAACTTGTCAGGCTTTGGTACATCAGCAGAAACTGCATTTAACTCTCTTCTCGAAATCTGAGATTTTAAATATCCAGAAATATCCTTGGCGTTATATTCCCTTGAAACAGCTTTCTGCCAAACTTTTAACTTTGGTACTTTGCAGCCTGCTTTTAAACTGTCAGTGAAAATAAAGAATTACATTCTGTACTTGCATAGGCGGCGCAAGCTACTTGTTGCTATTAAAAACTTGTATATGCTATAGACAAATATAAAATGAATTTGAAAAGCTACCAAGTTTTCTCTCTGGCCCTAATCACTAATTTCAGCCGTTAGTGCATGCTGTTTACAGTTGTGCGTGTTCAGTTGAAATCACATAAAACTACTTTTTTTCCCTCTTTTTTTTTCTCTAGGTTGTATTTCTCTGTTTTTTGTGCTTTTAAAAGCACCTGAACATAAATATACAGTAGAGAGAATAAAACTACTTGTTATTATCAACATAAGTTGGAGTTGAGAAGAAATAGCTGAGGACAGCAACAGGAAACAGTTGACTTGCACTTAAATCTCATTAACTTCTTGCTTCATTCATTCTTCCCAGGTTTTCTGCCTGCTTTAGCAGACAGTCTGCATTGTTTTTCATATACAATCTCTTCACATCTGTTCATTTTTTTTTCTCTTTGCATCCCATGCCGTTGTAGAGGTGGTGGTGATTAGAAATTTGTCCTGTTGAATGTTTCCAGGTGCTTTGGTATGCCCAGGCATAGGCTTCTATGTGTCTTGCCTTACAAAACCACCTCAGCCTGCTTTTTTCTTTCTTGTTATATTTTCATGTTGATGACAAGTGGATATTTTTGGTGGTTTTTTTTCTCACAGTTTTTGTGACAGGTTCATATGCTCCTTATGGGCATTTCTGTCTCCTTGTCAAAAGCAGTCTGCTTCCTGTGCATTTAGCAAAACCTGGTTGAGACTAAGGAAGTCTTAAGTGAGATTGTTACACTTCCCAGAAGCAACAACCTGTAGTCATAAAATCCTGGGATCTTCGAAATGCTGTGCTCCCAATCAAAGCATGAAGACCGTGCATTTTGTCCTGCATGTCCTGGCCCTGCATTTTTGGGATGAAATAGAAGGCATTTGCCTCAGTGCTTGACTAATGGTCTTGCCTGTGGTCTCCAGGAGTCTCTTGTACCTTGGCTCTTGGCACTGGCACAGGGTGCCCAGAGAAGCTGTGGCTGCCCCATGCCTGGCAGTGTCCAAGGCCAGGTTGGATCATGCTTGGGGCAGCCTGGGACAGTGGAAGGTGTCCCTACCCATGGCAGGGGGTTGGAATGAAATGGTCTTCAAGTTTCCTTCAAACCCAAACCATTCCATGATTCCCTTTCCCTTCTACAAATACGTACATTTTCACAAGAGACCTTCCTTCCTTTGATTTCTTGAGAAAATTTCCAGTTCTTGTTCCTGTGACATTCTGTTGCTTCTTGTCCCACTCATATCAAAAGGCTTCCTATTGGAATTGTCCCTTCACGTGGAAGTAGGAAATGTCTTATTCAGCTTGTGCTCAGTACTTAGTGGAGATTTGTTGCAGTTCTGTGAGAGGTGGAGGTGTTTTAGTGGTGGTAATTTAGATGTTGTAGTTCTTAACTGAGAAAAGATGGTCGCTTGCCTTAGTTCAGTGGGTTTCTTAAGAAGTGTGTGTAACTGTGTTACAGAGTGAGTATTTTGCATAAATGTGGGGTTTTGGTAATGTTTAAGCTATTCAACTTGTGTGGTGGATTTTTGGCCGGAGTGTATGTTCAGTATTGGAGAGAGTTTAACCTAAAAACCCTCAGCTAGAAACCTCAACTCTGTTGGTTCCCTTCTATCCAAATTTAATAGCTTTCCAATGTGTTTTCTGTTAGCCTGGCTTAAAATTATTCTCTATCAGCTACAAGGTTTTTTATGTTTTGTATAAGGAATCACTTTGCAACCATGCATGTATCTGTCAACGTTGTTGTGATGAGTGTTTGCATATAGCATTTGGGAAATGTAGTGGAAAGTCAGATTCTCTTTCAGCTGATTCAGAAAGTCATTGGCATGGAATAATCCAGAGAGCTCACATATCCAAATTCCCTGAATTAGATTACTTATTCTTGATACTGCCTTGCAACTCCCATTTATCACTTAATTTTTTGGTGAAAAATATTACACATGCTAGTTTTAATTGTAACAGTCTGCATCAGCTCCTCCACCGTGGTTCATGTGGTATTTGCTCCTTGCACTATATTGTGACTTGAATTCTTAAGTAGTTCAAGGGTGAAGTATCATTTGATGCGCAATTTACCTGTGTGCTTTAAGAAAAAGCAATTGTGTGCCAGGGAGAACGCAACAGAGTAGCTCTTGGCATAGGCAGTGCTGCTGTTGGTGTGGAGTAAATGTCTCCAGCCGTTGGGAAACTTCCAAAGTTCATGGGGTGGGAACCTCTTATTGTTGTGCAGTGGAAAGGATCACTGGGTGAAACTCGGGAGCCAAGCTTTCCCTTGGCCTCCTTCCTGGTAGTTCCTTTAATGTTGGTCCCCTCCCAAGAGCTCACTTACCAGTTGGTCAAGTCTTTTGCAAAATCGATTTGCTGCGAATGGAGATGAAGGAAATGGGGGTGATGACTTGCACTTGATTTCTTTCAAATGCCTTGTTTTCTTGTGTGCTGAATGTAGCAAATTAGTTAGAAAGCTTTTTTTTTGGGTGTCTGTAAAAGGGTTTGGGGTGGTTGCATCAGCAGTTGCTTCCTGAACAACTGGAATTGAGCTTCTCTGGCCTGAAGAATAGCTGGCATAACTTTCTCATCTGGTGTTCTACTTTCTAGTTCTCTGTTCCATGCTGACTTTTTCTTTGGAAAAGTTCACAAAAGCTTTCATTTTCCTGGCTTTCTTTATTCATATTCGGTTTCTAATTGATAAATCTGCTTTCTCCATTAGCATGGCCTGTAGCCTATGAAATACAAATGATTTCAGTACACAGAGTTTAAGTTAAAAACCACTGGGTTAAGTCAAAGAAAAATCTCAACACAAGTTATTTGTTGTTTCAAGCACTTAATAAATTAATCTAGTGATTCAGATTAGCTAATAATTCCTCTAAATTCTTTAGAGGACACACATATTTACTGTCTTCACAATAGGGCTCTGAATTACTTCATATGTAGACATTACCTCAGCAACTCACTCTTTAGTGGCAGTTTTTCTTAAATTTTAGAACGGATAGATTCCTTGTTAACTGAGATTAATTTCAGAGTTACTTGTTTGTAATCAAAACTCTTGATGATAAAACCAGAACTTTTT